ATACCCTTCGACTTAGTACACGGGTAGGGTTTATTGTGCATAATTATAAACTAGTCACTAAACTAAGTAACTGAAAACAATACAGTCCAATATATCATGTTTTAATCATAGGCGCCTGGCTACTCCCATGCTAATTACTCTCCCGGGAATACGGACCAAACATCTCGTGGATGTGGTCATATCGGACCCACCACTGCCGCTGTAGTCATATCGGACCTGACACCACTCTAGGTGTGGTCATATCGGACTCGACACCACTCTGGGTGTGGTCATATCTCATGATGAATCAACGGCCAACACCACATCAGGGGTGTGACATAACATGTCATAACGGAGTAATAGCATGGGGAGTCCTAATTACTATATAATTGACCATGAGACCAAAGTACTCTTACTTGGTATCCTTATACATGATCCATATCTCATCTTGCTTAATCATAATTCGTTATTTTCACATGTACTTGACCAGGCCACAATTGGCTCAACATAGGTAAATCAGGAGTCGTATAATTGCACTTCCTCGGGATAAACCCTCGTGCAAGTCATCCTCCTTAAACGTCATAATATCACCAGGGAATATATATTTTCCCACATGTGCATCCAAATACAACAATCATGAAAAATCATACCCAATCACCTTTTCGAACCATCATAAGGCATATCAACAGTCAAGCCCACAATTTGCAACATATACGAAATCATCAGCATAAACAAGGTCCATCTCGATTAGGGCAAGTCAATAATATCATACAGTAGTCCATGGTTCATCATATAGCACAAAAGTTCATACACCCTTAATCATGCCATTCTAGTTCACCTAGGTCAATTCTAAGCATAAATATAATTATCGTGACACGACAAACCCGGTATGCCGTGCTAATCCCTCGCCAGTTCTGGTCGTTCAAACACCGGTTTAACCTTGCCGTATTAAAACGTCAATTTCAAGAACGAACCCCGAATTAAAATCCGAGACCGTCCTAATATCCCCTGCAGTATCCTCATCAATATTAGTTCTAGGCTCCGGGTCAAATTCTTGATAAAAACACATCAAACCCTGCCCGGAGCTAAATTCAGCGATTTGGACCCCGACCTAAATAATACCCGAAATTCATGGATTAGAACTAGAGGATTGATTACCTCGCTGCAGGAAGCTCGTATATGAAATTTGGGCTCAATCCGGCTTCCGGATACTCCGAAACCGTAATCTGACTTATCGGGAATTCAAGAAATTCCTGGACCAAAAACTCGTTTTAAAGCTCTACATCGATAAATCACGATGTATAGATGAATTAGGCATTACTTACGGGATTTTTGGATCACTAGAACTCAAGAATTGAGCTTGGGAATTTTCCCTCGACGTTCCCTTGTACTCTCCGCGCGTTGCTATGCTCTCGGTAGTGAAAAGGAAAAGAAGATGACGATGGGAAAATAAATGGGCCGGTGGTGGGGAATTAAATGGACAGTATATATATAGTATACTTATCCGATCGATCGATAATCCAATTTTCGCCGAAATACTATCAAAACGCTCGATTTTAAATCGCGAATTTTCTAGCGATCGAAATATGAGTTTTGCCGGAACGAGATGTCACACTAACCTTGTTGTTATTCTCTCGTAGGTTGGGGACGACGTGCATATATACAACCAACGGTATCATGTTGATCAAGGACCTAGTGATCCAACCATGTTGTACGACCAACCGAACCATCGTTCAAGGGATGTTTGGAACGATCACGAGGTAAATACAATTCTTCATCATTTGTCTTTCTTTTATTTTGTTAACTTACTTAGTGGAATATAAAATAAATTTTATCGTTTTTAATCGTATTGGTTGTTTTCAATAATTTAATCAAATACATAGCGCCACTTACTAAGACTCTTTATAAAGAGATGCTATCGGCATTCTCTCTCTCAACAATGGCGAAGGCTAAAGGAACGACTTGTCTGTTTGCATCCGCACCACTGGCAATTAGGAGAGTGCCCTTGTACTTGCCGGTAAGGAATGTACCATCCACTTGGATCATAGGGACACAAAAGCCAAAACCATCAATAGATGTCTTGAATGCCCAAAAAAAGACGTTTGAAATGGCGTTTGACACCGGGCTCTGGCGGCTGTATCTCTTCATCTTGGTATCGAGGGGAGAAAACAGTGCAGGGTTAGACGCCTCCAATGCCAAAATCAACCTGGGAAGAAATGCATATGATTCTTCCCAATCACCAAAGACGGCGGCCAGAACTTTCTGCTTTCCATGCCACACCTTCTTATAGTTAATAATATAACCATAACGACTTGTAATGTCAGCAATTATGACTTTCACCTCCAGGTCAGGATCTTGCTCAATTAGATGGTTGATAGCCGTGGCGACCACCATGGATTTCAACTGTCGATGGCGTTGGGATGTTACGGATGACACACATGTGTGTGTGCACCACACGGGATATGACCCAATAGTCATGTCTCTTGTTGTTGAAGGCCCGAATCCTAGCATTGCATCCCTCTTTTTTATTACAACATCCGACTATGAGCCTCTTCGTGTTGGAATGAGTAGTGTGTCATTCAAAATGCCAAGTCATTGCTTCTGTTTCAATGGTGTGTTGCACCTCCTTCTTCGAACCAAATTGTTGGCCATTCATAAACCCAGTGAGTGGACCTCATATTGGGACCTCTGGCGGCTCCATGTCGGTGTCGACACTCCAATTGTCGTCTGAAATGTGATTGTAGTACGGGATAGGTACACGGTCACGAGACACCTCATCATCATCTGGGTCTTGACTCTGGGCCTGAATCATCAGCACCTTCAAGAGGGTCGGAGCTGTCTGCACTGAGATTGCTCCCTTCTTCTTCATTGGAGGCGTCACTAACTGGTGCTGGCAGGGTATCTTCCATCTGATCCAGTTCATGAAAGACACCTTCATTAGCTCTATAATGGTAGTTGTGAAAACTACCGCTGCCTGAATGGAAGTTGTACTCGGGTTGGTTGGCATGGTCCCGCTGGACTTCTTCTTCACATGATGGGAAAGATTGATGATGACCTTCACCTTGCTCTTGGTACTGAAAGTAGGAATGAGGATCATGGTAACTTTGGTAGGGATGGTCTTCATATAATTCACCTCCACCATGGATACCATATGTTTGATCGTCTCTAGAATGACCTCAAACGCCTTCGACAGCCTCGGTGTAAACGAACATCTCGGCTTTGGAAAGATTATTGGACTTCAAGAATCCGAGCATGACATCTACTTCATCCTGAGTGGTTATTAGATATTCCTCATACCACAACGACCCGCATTCTCTGTTTGGATATCAGCACACCATACGATCAACTCTTCTCTTGTCATCCATGCAAATAACGTCAGTACACATTTGATTGAGGTCTTCAAGCATCGGTCTGGTATCGACCTTTATTTTCTGAAAATTGCCACCGACGTAGGTGACCCCCTTTCCGGTCTCTTCCGTGTAACCATTCCACTGTAACCCAAGCGTGAACTTTTGGAATGTCATCTGCAATAAAACCTTAATCCAGTTAATATCATAAGAATCTCAAATCACAATAAAAAGTAATACAAATAAACTTACGAGTTAATGTTAATCGCAAAAACAAGAAAAAGTAGGATGCTACAACAAAAAAATTGAAGAAGAAGAAAAAGGAGAGGTGTGAAGAGAAGAGGTTTTCCGGGGCTGCCTTTTATAGGCAAAATCATCACTGAAAACCGCAGGGGGAGGGGGCGGTTTTCATCTGCCATGCAAGCCCACATCTATCAACCTGCATGGCCAACATACTGGATGTCGGGAAAACGAAGACGACACACAAAACGCACGGGGGACTTAGCATACCATCCCGCCTACTGTACTAAGACATACAAGAACTGCAAAAAGAGTGTTCACTGTTCAGTGCAAGCTCAGTGCGCTCTAAGAACTCTGATTCATCACCAGGATGCCAAAAATGAAACTGCAAGATGAAGGGTCAAGTCCACGTTCACTCCTGTGGTGAGGGAAGGGGCAGAGAAAGAATTTTATAACAATTCGATCCAATTGTCTTGTCAATTACATAACCTTCACAAATGAAGACCAACTAAGCATACAACAGCTTAACTTAGCAGAGCAGCAGCCGACGCAACAGGGAATGTTAACATCCTGATGCGCTAATTGCATGGCCGCCGACACCCAAAATGGTAAACCAAGCAAGCAATAGCAGCAGAAGAAAAGGGCCAACGAACGAACGAAGCTTACATTAGCCCCATGCACAATTGACCTTTTCTTCTTTAAATAAACACGACAACATACTCTTACAACACCCCACACAGCGAGAAATGCACTTGCCCAGTAGAGCTTAGCTAGCTCGAGCAGCCACCCTCCATGGCCATGGCATTCTCAATCGATCGCCTCCTCCACCTTGGCGCCCTCCCACCTGTTTCCACCACCTTCTTTTATTTCACTCCCTGCATCACAAGTTTTCACTAATGTTCAGTTTCCCCATTCATTACAACCATGGCAATTCAGCTATAACTGAAGTATTTAAGCGTCTGAACAGGTACTTTATGCTGGTGAGTGTATATTACAGCAGCAGGGCAAAGACAAACACTCCAATCTCAAGCAGCCGACAAACTAGTAACATAATAATGGCAAGCTAGTTAATGAGCTAGCTGACAAGCAAGTGGTTGTTGGGTTTCATCAAGTAAAACAGAAACGTCACCCATGACCTAATCAACCAAATGAAAGATTGGAAATTTTCTTGTTTACATGTACGGATAAAGTAATATTAATTAGGTCAAACTAAGATCCATTCCAGATGGAAGGTTGCAACTTGCATATCAGGATCCCACACCAACAATAAGTTTGAGTGAAAAGACAGTTTAACTGGCAAGTCCAAGGAATGAAAGATTATGGTTCCCTGCTTAAGTCTACCCCTATTAACTTTAGAGATCTTAGAGCATGCTCCTAACTTAGTCCCAGATTTGCACCTTAGCCTATACAAAAAGCCGGGTGAAACCCAAACCAAGGAAGATAGCTCGTTTATAGCATAACTTTAGCAAGTGGGCGATATTGATCTAAGGGACCAAGACGGACAACAATGTTTTGATCATGAGATTGAAAAATATTATGTCTCGTGCCACATTGAGAAAAGAAAATGATATGTGTGGTCACTCTAGCCCTAATAAATAGTTTTGAATGATCTAATGTACATGAACCATGTCATGACGATGATACACAAATGTATAGAATCACGTGCACAATGCATTGAAACCTAATAAACAAAATAAAGCCAAGAATAGATAAGAATCACATTTGATGCTCATAAAAAATCATGCACCAAAGAAGCAAAAACCAGCTACTACAGATAGTGCCACCCAGGCAAAATACAGTGTCTCCTAAGCGAAGACGAGTTTTTTTAGAGGACGGCAGGACTAGTTTTCCGACTTACGCACTGACTCATGTCATGCCACTGCCCTATAAAAGACTAGTAGACACTCAAATTTCTCTTTCCAAAACACCACTCTTAATCTCATTCTGTGATTTAAATAATAAAATCATTTGGCAAAACCTTTTTGGGTTTTTAATGCGCCCTATGTTGGAAAGAATGAAATCATTGAATAATATGTAAGAAAAAAGAAATGCAATATTATGTCTATCTTATTTTCTCTACGAAATTCTAAGGTAGAGACTCTGATTGTGTTTAATAAAACAAAATAATTGAATGTCATTAGATGGTTGTATCAATAATTAATCTTAGTAGGCACACTATGGTTATGGAGCCTGCAATATTTAGAGTTGGACTCTAGACTATTGGTTTCTAGTTAGGGGTTCAACATTAGTTTACTTACATTATGGTTTCAATGAGTAAAAATTCAACCCATTTAATAGAAGAAAACAATTATATTTCAGATTACAGTCTTCACATGAAAATTAAAATAATTAAGGGTGAAACGGGATACGGAAAATGAGAGCCTATATACAAAAGAGATCATCCTAAATTCATAATAGTAAACATCTATACATTTTATTAAGAACATAATTCCTGAGATTTCAAAAGCTAGAACAAGGACACAAAAGCATACATTTTTAGGGGGAAAAAAGAGATGTTAGGGCTAACTATAATCAAGTGGACGTCAAAATATTGCATTGGCATGGTATTCATTTGCATACTATTGAAGAATAGTCATTTTATATAAACTAATGGAATGTTACGGTGGGAAAGAAACCAGCCAACCAGAGAGAAGGGCAGCATTTTACTCACGGCGTTCATGTAATTCACCAACTAACTTAACAAACCAAACCAAGGCTTTTGGAAAAGCTCGCCACCAAAACCAACAGCCGGCTGCAATGCCGCGTGGTCATTTGATAGTGGTTTGGTATATCGGGGCCAAAAGGCAAGAAAATAAAACAAAAACAAACCAAAGCAATTGGGATTCTAAAGCAATTAAGGTTTCACCCTACAAAGTGACCCTCTCTCTCCCTCGGCAGAGTCAGAGCAAAACACATGACATTTGCGACTTAGACGATAACACCTGTCAATGAGTCTACAAGTTGTTAGGGACTAGGGAAGAAGGGAACCACCAAGAATACAGGCAAGGAGACAACCAGCCGATCATCATTCACATCAACCCATGCAAACGAATCCCACACTATCTAATTCATTATAATATATTGCTTTGCATATAACCCCACAAAAGTTGCCCAATGGCTAACTTAGTTTATGATTACCAAGAAAAAAAGATGGTAGAGCTAGAATAGTTAGTATTACTATGCACCACTAGCCACTACACGAAGATCCAGAACCCATCACTTAGACAACAAAAAACGAAAAGCAAAAAGAGCAAAGCCATGAACATGACATTAAAACAAAAATAAAAAGCTTTCTAACTACGTACGGTATGACCCATTATTAAAAGTCAAAGCACTGAATGGAGATCAATAATGTGATGGGCTTACCAGGGAGAAGATGGCTCAAGAGGCAATGAGGGGTTCAAAGCAGCGGCGTCAGTTGTTCTTCCCTTTACCCTTGTGGTCAGATTGCCTGCTGCTGCTGTTTCCGTCGCCATAGCAGAGCTGCAACCCATGAGGGAATAACTGCTGGTGGTTGTGGTGGTGGTGATTCTCCAGAGGCTGCTGCGGCGCACCGCCACCAATGAAGAATGGTAAATGAGTTGTGGATCCGTCTATGGGTGAAGCAAACCTCTGGAATTGAGGCGGCAAAAGAGACGGTGATTGTGATGAATTGGACTGAAGGGTCCCCCTATTGAAACCAGCAAGGCCTGATGAGATTGTGAAGTTGAGGTTATAGTCCGCAACTGGACCACCTCCTTGTGTAGTTGTTACTGGCATCAAATGGTCGGAAACAAATGGGAAATGTTGTTGTTGCTGCTGCTGCTGCTGCAGAAGCTGCTGCTGCTGCTCCTGATGGTGATGGTGGCTATGGTGAGCCTCACCCGATGACACAACATTGAACTGCGGGATTGACATCGACATTGTCATTCCCTGCTGCTGCTGCTGGATCGAGTTCCCTAGCTGGATTTGACCGGGAAAGACCGTAGCAGACGAGCAATGCTGCTGCTGGCTGCCGCGGGTGGATGAAGCAGTCGGCCCAAGAAGGCCAGGCCCAAAGTAATCCATAGCAGTCAACGGCCATGGTCTTGTGGCTGCGTTGTGGAACAAATTGACCTCAGATGGATTAGTCGCGATTGTGGTAGCAACTGCAGCAGTTGTGTTGTTGTTGTTGCCATTGTTGCTGGCAATATTACCACCAATGCCACCAGTTAAAAGCTCAGTGAACGTAGAGCTCTGAGCGATAGTGTTGATGTTGTGGTGCTGTTGGTGGTGGTTGGAAATCCTGGAGTCGGTGGTAGTATGGTCTTTCTCTTTGGCAGCAGCTTTCTCCTTTGCTCTCTCACGTGCGGCTTTGACACGACTCGCCCGAACGTCTGACCTCGCGAGTGACAATCCTGAACCTTTGCTAGTCTCTGAGTTGCTGCTGCAGGCAGATTTAGAAAGGGAGAGCTGCTGGTGGTTGTGGTTCTGATTGGGGTTATAGTTCCCGCCGGGATCTTCTTCTTCTTGGTGAAGCTCTAAATCAGCCGAATCAAAGCCTTGTTCAGCAGTGACGGCGGTGGTTGTGATTCTTTTCTCGTCACTCAGCAGCTGTTTGGGAATGTCGGGAAAACAAGCATTGAGGGAAGGGAGCTCCGCGATTGCATCAGCGGCGGCTTTAATCAGCCATTCAACGGCCTTACTGGGCTGGTCATAACCCAATCGGTCTTGCAGATCGTAGAATTGAATGGCGGTGGTGACTGACAACCGGACCCGCCGGTCTCTCAAACCCTTGGAGGTCCAAACTTTGCTGTGCCTGTCTTTCCCGCCGGATGCCCTGGAAACCCTAATGATCCTGGAGTGGTGCCAGCCCCGGAGCCGATTGGTGGCACCGTCGCCGGCGACAGTGACGGCAGCTGCTCCGCCAATGGCAGGGTTACACAGGGCCATCTTGACTTCACCATCATCTGTATCTGGTTGGAATTGGCGGTGGTGGTGCTCCTCTCCGCCCCCGCTTCCTTTAATGGTGCCTATCTTGCTGCTGTCGTTTCGACCGTTCCCGATTCTGGAGAACTTGCAGGGAGGTTGCGTTGGATGAAGCTCCTCAATCTCCATGCCACTTTCATGCCTTTTTTTGTCAAAACTTGATTGAAAGGAAGAATTTTTATGAAGAATCCTTCCTTACTTCTTTCCTTGCTCTCTCTTTTTCTCTGGGTTTTTCACAGACTAGCTCAAACCAGTCTCTTTCCCTTCCCCCCTCTCCTTCTTCTGCAGTTTTGGGGAGAGTGAGAGAAAAGAGAAATGGGGTTTCTTTGTTTCTTTCACTCAGAAAGACGATGAAGGAAGAAGAGGGAGGAAGAAGGTGGTGAAATGCAAGTGGGGTTTCAGTGTCCTTTGCATTGATGATGATAATACAGAGTGTACTTTGGGCTGTGGTGTAGTGATAAAAAAGGGGCCTTCTTCTCTTTTCTTTTTTTCACTCTGATATATCACGGTCTAAGTCAGTAGAGAGAGAAAGAGAAGGAAAGGAGATACCAGCATTGCATTCTCTCCCCTCTCTCTCTCTTCTCTCGTTTAAGCTTTTTAGCAGCAGCAGGCTGCGCAGAGGCAGGCAGGCAGCCCCCTCTCAAAAGCAATGACTGAAAATGGCAGCCTCAGTCCTCCTCCTTAGCCTGAACCCTGCAACCAAAGAACCCACACAGACCATATTAAAAAGAAAAACCAAAATAAACCAACAGAACTAAAGGGTGAAAATTATAAGACATAGCTTCAATTCGTACAAATCAAGCTCTTCACATTTCTTCCACAGAGAGAGAAAGGGAGAGATCTACGCAGGCTGGCTCACTGTAGATGGTGATGATGATGATATATGGCTTAAAAAAGGGCTTTTGCAAACCCAACTTAAGCCTAAAGACCATTAGCTTTAACCAGAGCTCAAAACTAACTTTCTAAAACCCATAGCTAGGCCACCGCAGTTGCCTTCGATCTCTCTTTAGGTTGCTAAAAAGGTAAAGCTAAAGCAAAGGCTTCACCGGGACTCAGCCGCCCCTATCCCCTTTCTTCTCACTTGGGTTTTGCCCTTTCTTTCCTGGGTCTCTCTTTCCTGTGTATTTAAAGCTCTCGCTGACACTAAAAATGGCAGACATTGTTAACCACCACCACCACCCAATGCTGCCCTTCCTCTTCTTCCTCCTCTCCTCTACCTCCAGCAGCTCTCCTAGAAGCAAGAACAATAAATGACGAATCCCCACAGTCCCCCCATTTAATTTATACACTGTGTTTCAGAATTACCAGCAACCAATTTAAAAGCTAAAAAAATGCTCGACCCAGCTGAGTTTTGGGGGCATTGTTTCTTACAGGTGTCAATCATCTAATAACCATCAATAACCCACCTGCCAGCCTAATCAGATTTGCTTAATTGGATACTACTGTAGACGGCACAAGTAATAAAACAAGAAAATAACAAAATGGGTCGTCGTCTATTCTTACTGTCCACTTCTTCTTCGTCTCATCAAAGCAACAATTATACCTTGCAGTAGATCTTTGCTGCTGCCATCCCGATTCCGACAGATCTGGGAAAATCGCTGTTCACTGTTAAAACGAACAAACCGGAAACTACTATTAAGCTGGCTTTCTTACTAAGCGGAGGAATCATTTTCTCTCTTTTTTGGAAAGTATTCCCCTCATGGAGACAATGATAGCAGTACTGCTAGAAAATGCCCCAAGCTCAGGGAAACACTATTTCCTCTACGCCTATCAACTGCCAAGCTAGCCAAATCATGTCGAATTCACTTTCCGCCCAAAAAAAGAAGAAGATAAGAGAATCGGAGAGCTAAAGCAACCTTTCGCAGTCGTACGAGAGCTTGTTCCTGTACGCCGGAGGCCGGAATTCCTGTTTGCAGCTCACCTACCGGAGTACTGTTTTTCGAGTATTCTTAGCAGCTTCTTTTCTAGCTTCCTGTCGGTTCCTACACAAGAGTAACAAAGGACGAATCCGCCACCATTAATGAAACCGGTGCTGGAGGGGTGAAAAAAAATCCAGAGGACGAATCGTCCCGGAGAATTTGGAAATTGAATCAGTAAATTTCTCCGCTCGGTCGTGTGTGTTTGTGGTTAGGGTTGAGTGTTTGGGAAGCCAGAAAGGCAGCTGGAGAAATTATTACTGCTTACAAAGTGAAAAGTGGGAAGAACAGTGGAAGAAGAAGAAGAAGAAAGAAGAAAGAAGCTAGAAAAAGGAAGGGGAAGGGGTTTGCTTACCCATTATGATTGTTGATGGTGTCCAGTTTCCAGCAAATCGCCGGGCTTATCGGGAACGGACAGAAACTGCGCCGTTCCCTTACGCCGACGTTTTAATATATCTTCATTTTTTTCTTCCTTTTCTGCCCTCCCTCACATCCCCTTTCTACGCCCATCTGCCACTTCCCCACATCTCTCTCTCTCTGTTTCAAACAAAAATCAACATCATTTACCCAAAGCAGGAACCTGGCATCTCTTCAGAGACATTAATTCTAGTAAAAGTAAAACGAAAGGTGGCTTCTGGTTGATGTTTATGGAAAAAGTTAAGTTGACTAGAGCCTAGAGGTTAAATATATCATTTAGTAATTAAAAGAAGTAGTTTTTTGGAATATTACCCGACTTCATCTTGATTGACCATAATTGTACAATATAATTTAGTTAAAATTTATTGACACAAGATTAAGATTGTGCGTCCAACTCTTTTTCTTTTTTCTTTTTTTGTAGAAGACAGACGCGAAAGCGTCCTATATCATTTCATTAATATCACAACACATGGAAACACCCATGTTGCCATACAAAAGCCAGTAGCACAAGTTCGGGTTGCCCACATCTAACGGATGTGTCAAAAGTAAGGAAATGTCCAACTCTCTAACGAGTCTTACTAGGACTCTAGGAGCACATTTTGCAATGTTTGTTTTGTGATTGTGTCGTTGAGATTAAACCAAACAAAGTTAAAGTCCACAAGAAAAGATGATCTTCTAACTTTGTTGTCAAAATTCATATTATGCATTTCCAAGATTGTGAAGATGGCGGGTTGGCTATAAAGTATTAACAAGGGTAGATCGACTCGAGATGACATACAATAGATCTTGAGTTACAATTCTTGATGGAGAAAAAAGTAGGTTAGGATTCAGTATTGTTGTGACACACCTATTCGTGGGGGTTCGATAATGTTTAACCCATATGTTTCCATGTGTGATGAGTCTAAGTAGGATCTAGCACCATGACGACGGACTAGGTTGTGAGCAGGTCCTTAAAGGTTGGGCAAGAGAGGATCGATGGCAATTGGGAAGTACGAATAGCAAAACATCATTTCGCACGGACGAACGTAATGCGTAGAATTGAAAACATAGTTGGGTTGGTTGGATAAAGATAAAATTTAGATCATTTCCGATTTTCTAAATGTGTCAAAATTGTGACTTCTTAAAAAAACATTCGGCTACTAATAGGGAGAAATGTTTGTTTCTAATAATAAAATGAAGTAAGTTAATTTTTTTTTATATGACCATCATGAATATAATCTAAAATAATTTATTTCGTATTAGAAACAAAATGGGAAATATTTCTTATTATTGGGTGATTTTTTTAGTATATATATATTGGAGGGTAAATAGTTATTATTCTAATAAAATCAAATAAGTGTTTGTTCTAGATTTAACTTTTAAGTGTGTTTTTATGTGGTTATCTTACTTTGAACAAACACACCATCTGCACTCTTCTGATTTCTCCCAGCACCTTCTCCTTTTGTTTCTTCTTTCCTTTTCTTTTATTTATCATCCTACCTTTTCCACTCTTTTTATAAAAATAAAATAAAATAAATTGACACCACTATGAATGTCTATCCTGACCTCCAGTACAATAATGCAATTTGTTTGTATTCAACCGCTGCTGCCTGCTGCATTTGAATGTTTTCCAAGCTCCAAAATATAATTATAATTCTTTGCTTTATTTACAAATCAGTAGAGCAGCATATGATTCTCGAAAGGACAAAATTGGGTATAAAATCAGGTATTTTAGCGAAAACTTAACACGCACAGACAGCATAGTCAACTCTTTGGCTGCTATTGTCGCAAATTGATCCTAAATTATAGAGTGGGTTGAACCAATGAAGGGATGAGCTAAAATTAAAGTAAATAGCTGAAATTAAAATTAGATGAAAGCAAAAATCCACCTGAATCATTTTATATGCAAGTCGTTCACGTGTACAATAATTCTATCAACCATATTTTGAAATTCGCCATAACTTAATAAATAAATCGCAGTTCGCCTAGAAGAGGAAGATTATGTTATGTTTGTTAAAATCACCGAATTAGTTAGTATCTTGTAGTTACAATTGAGACATGACAGTTTGTGCTATATTTATCACCCAACCCGCTGATTTCATGCTATATTTTTTATTTCAAACTCAGCAATGTCTATGATGATTTCGAGCTCCTCAATTCCGGTTTGTGCAGTCTATGCCCCCTCTGCTTAATCATATATCTCCAAATGCGAAAGGTGAGAATGACTTCAATATGCTAAAAAGCGAGTTTGTGCCGTGGAACAAAATTTGTTGGATGATATGGATGACATTATTGTTGAAGATGCTACTACAAAGGAACATGAAAAGGACTTGCACCCTAAAGAAATGGATTGAATATGAAATGTTTGCATCTGAGTAAAATAAAAGTAAACTTTTTAGTGAAACTTCAGAGAAAGAGCTTTGTACATTGCGAATTCCTCCTCTAAACATGTTTTTGAGGCAATAAAGAATATATCCACGATGAACTTGAGGAGAAGGACGATTGTGCCCACCCTCTGCCTCATTTCAGTGTGAAGGAGAAGTTCATCATGCGACGGTAACATAGATCGACTTCAATAGTCAAGTGCCTAGCTTGGACGCAACCGGTAAGCCAGATTGTGGAAGAGCCATGACTAGTGGACCATGGGTGTTAGTTTTTACCAATAGGAGTATGGATTTAGCCCCATGAATGATCGATATTGAGACATTTCTTGAGACGATACTATTTTCGATAAAATTTTCCATCTAGTCCCTTGCCAGCCATAAGCATTGTTCATCTTGCTTTCCTTTGTATTTGGAGCTTCCTCTTTAGAGCTTTTTGTCGCTTATTTCTTCGTGACAGTCGTTCTCATTTTATGCCTCATGCATCATATATGATATTTGAGATATGCATATTGAGATGTTTAGTTGGTGACAAAGGAGGTTGAGATTTTCAATCCGCCTTCTCCTTCATATTTACGTTCCTCCTACTTACTTCACCACTTGGGCTAGAACTTTCGCATGTGTCTTGAATTTTTCAAAAGAATAATTTTGATGTTTTGCCTTCAAAATTTCAAAGTTTCCCATCAAAGGAAGGAAGGGAAGGAGTGATTAATCATTAGTTTTTTTTTTGGGTGAACTTGGTGCTTAATTAAAGTGGTTAATACTTAATAATTAGTTGAAAAGAAATGTCGATGCGGGCCGAGAATGCATGGTAGCATTTGATGGGCCAATGGGCACATGACGAACGATGACAACTGTTCTCTGATCCTTCCAATCCAAAGACAAGTGAAGCGTGTTTGGGGCCCCGTTTTTGGTTTATATTCTCTAAACGGCACATTTTAATTAACTGTCTAAAGCCAAACTACTTTCGCCCCCTATAATCTATATCTCTTAATTTTTCTCTTATAATCTATATTTTTTTTATATCTTATATGGAGTATTCCTCATATGAATATTGGTATTGTGTGGACAATAACATGACGTGTGATGTTTGAATCGGATTACAATGAGTAGAGTTATGATGGGTTACAAGCGGAGATCAATGGATAATTTATATTAGATGAGATAAAATTTTATGATTGTGCAGGTTAATTGGATTGATGGCCCGGCTCAAAAATTTTGCTTATACTTTACCATTATTTTGAGAAAGTGTGTTTACACAAAAGAAAGATTATTACTATGGAACAAATATAGAGCGACAAAGCATGATCTGAAATCACTCATGCATTTGAAGGATACAAGCGAGTTAAAATCCATCATCGAGAAGCTACAAGGTTAGCACGGATGATGGGATGGAGGAATTGGATTAGATATCGAGATCCGAGATACTAATGGCAAATTTTATCAAGAAGTAGAAGAAGGAGGGGGAAAAAAATATTATCGGAAATTCGAGACTGCTAAAGCAACGCCCAAACAGTGGAATTACAGGTCAAGCCTGAAAGTCAAGAGAGTACCAAATTGCTTAGCATTGATGCAAAAATTTCATTAGAATGATCCACGCCTTATAAAAATCTTTACCGTCCACAAAATTATCAACGAAGAGATGAACGTGATAGAAAATGGACGATGAAAATGAGGGAAGCACGAAGCTTGCTAGCCCAGTTGCCGGTAGAATCTAAAATGTGAGACCATGGAGATGCAATCATAGCCCATAGGTGGAGCCAGTAGGATTATCCTTGTCTCAGGATAGGGGTTATTTTTTGGGTTGAGGATGTGTGTATTGAACCCAACACCAATAGTTAACACAAGCAAGTTTTACAACTACACCACATCAAATAATTTGTCTATATGTTGACGAAAAGACAATTTATTATGGTAAACAAAATCCCAATTGAATAAAAATCTAATCCAATATTTTTACTCATTAACCCTCTTAGATTTTTCACCGCAGCAGTTCAGGCATCCAACAACAGGAGTAAAAGGGATTCATTCGACAAAATTTCCTCTGCCTATCAGCCACCATGAAAAAGTTTCGAAATTGAATTGGAGATCAGTACGCTAATGATTGTTTAGTGGGATATATTTAAAGAGAATTACTTAAGAGTGTAGACAACAAATGTATTTTGTATTTCTTTCAGAATATGATAAGATGTCGTGGTTGTTTATGAAAACAATAAGTATAGTAGTTGTCTTTTTTAATCTATGAATGGATTATTTAGAATTATTAACTTTAATTATATTTGTTTATTATTTATTATATTTATATTTTCAGAAGAAGACATAGGTAGTTTCAGTTCCTGCCTCCGCCACTGGATGGAATGAACAAGTAGTATGGCCTAAAAAGCATCATAAGAAAGAAGCTACAACCTAATTCAGGAATGCAGATATGCAGCAGATGTTGTTAGGAAACCTAGCTGGCTACTAATACAAAAGCATGGCAAAAAAGAAGATAATGAGGAAAGGTTGGGGGAGCTAATCAGCTGGGTTTCCCGCAATTCCATGACAAATCACTTGCCGGGTAAACAGAAGCCAAACCCTAATAATAATAATAATAATACATAATTTGCTGCCTACTGGTTCTACTTTATGCAGAGCTAGCTAATAGGTAGGATTAGGGACACCCTTCAATCCCGCACCCTAATAATCAGATTAATATTAATAATGTAACCGAGAGGACATAGTTCAGCTATCATCATTCATAACTTATTCAAAATCCATAATTAAATAGTTTATTAATAATCAGAGATTAACGGTATAGTATACATAGTACAAGAGTGCAAGTCATGAGGGTAACTAGAAAACCCACTAGACCACATGAGGGAAAAGAGGGGCTTTTTGATATTATTATTATCAAGAAAAGTAGGGGAGATTAGGGAAGAGGGGGGAGGATGATTAGAATTTAGAAAGCGTTTGTTTAAACCCCTCTTTTTGTTTAGTTTTACTTAATCCGTGATTGATTAAGTTAAGTTGGTGGAGATCAATGCAATTGCAGGTTTAGTGACACGCTCGAGAGAGAATAAAAGGGGAGGAGGCAGGGGCACGTGTCGAGTGTGGGAGAGAGAAATCCAACCAACAAAGCAAAGAGGCAAGTTGTTTATGTTTAGCGGATGTTGGCGAGTGAGGCGCCTACTTCTGAATATAATCTAGCTACAAATCGAGTTATTATGCAATGCGGTTAGGTTAACCTTTTGTAAGTGAGACTAACTCCATTAAAGGGCTGGGTGAGAAAGCTTGAAAAGTGGATTTTACAATAGGGGATGATTTTTTGTTGTTGTTGTTGTTGTGTGAATCGATGGATTTCAATGAATGTGAATATAACTCACTGAACATGCAATTATACACTCATACTATTTGATGTGGATTTTAATCTTGGTCTAATTAGTTGGGCACTGTCATAGGTCAAGAACAAGGCAAATCTATTACACAATTAGGGGAATAGATTGGACAAATAAAATATCAAGTAGTCATCACTAAAATTAGGATTCATACAAAAACCATTTCATTCAATTCCAATATACTCCATAGCGTTCGGGTTCATCATACCCAAATACAAGAGGGTGACCCCATAAATAAGAAGAAAGAGGCCTAGTAGAGGGGGAGTGAGGGTCTAATTCTTCATCGAGGAGACTTCATTCTTCAATTTGCTTCTCTTGCCTCTAAGAAATCTTCAACTAAAAAAATCAACTTCCATCGTATCGCTTCATCTCAATCTATCACTAAGCTTCAAGACTTTGCTCTTTCTCTCTCCATATATTTGGAATGAAAAAAATTAGTCTCGTTCTTCACAATGCCCAACCTCCTTATATATGCTATGGGGGCAAACAACATCACGACCGAGAGATCACATGCGTGATTACTGAGTTTGCTCGTGATCACCGGAGCCACATCACCTTGGAGCTCTAGAATGCTAACTTTGACGGCCTATGAAGACCGGAGTTCACAGGTGTGATCTCAATTCGCGATCATGATTTTGATATTATGAGCAAGATGTTTGTTCGCGATTTCCCTTCGTTTGGCCATGAAACTCTTTGTCTTTTGCAGCAAGAGATTACAGACACATAGAAGCCGATCATGACCAAGTTTTGTCTACGATCTCCCTTCTTCAGTCGCGATCCTCGGAACAAATATCACGGTCGTGATCCTAAACTTGTGATCATGATCTCTAGCTGTTTTCTCTTTGCTCTCTACACTTACATCCCAAAGGCTCCAATTGTGCCCAAAACACATAGTTCTTCGGCAAGGCCTGAAAGTATGACAAGGATAACAACCTATGGACTAGAAATGCATTGATTATGAACACAATTTTGCCCAATTTTGACCATGATAACACCTAACCGTGGAGGATGAAAGTGTATGATTTTGATGTTATATACCAATAACATAATGAGTTCTAACCTCCAAATAGATCTATTTGGAATTTACGACGAGTCATAACAACAATTGCATTATCATCTAGGGTCACACACCCTAAAAAACTGAACCGTTATCTGTGTCGACATTATCAAGTCAAATCTATGGGTTTATTGGAGTCTGATTGGTGCAAGACATCTTTGTGTAGTGTCGTGGGCTCTACTTTAGAGCTTGCTGGCAAAGAGGATATTTTCTTTATTCTTAGCAAAAAGCTTGTATTTGAGCAGCCGCCGCCACTCGTCAACTTGGCGCAGTACCAAAATTGGTGGCCACTGGCCACGCAAAACAAAAGTCTGCCCGGCGCTACGATAAGGTTGAATGGCGGTTGAAATTGTTTGGGCGGTGGGATTTGCCATTTCAATCCGTCGACGTACCCTAATTGATATCATATATAGCGACCCCAAAAGATTAGGGTTTAGGCACCAATAATAATAATAATAATTAAGCAAAGGCATCAACTTGCAACTGTTGCTTTCGTTCTTAATGTATTTAATTCACCCTCTTGCTAATTATTCTAGTTTGTATCCTTTTTTTCTAATTGACAAGTTAGGTGGGAGGTGATAAACATGATGTCAAAGATCGTATCGTATCGGATAAGTAAGTGATACGAGTCTCGTTTAATCGATAGCATATAAGGTTGTCAAATTGGATTAACCCATCAAGTCGGTTTGACAAGTGGTTTGAGGTTTAATGGTCGGATCGGGTTTAGCCAGTCCAAGTGGATTTTAACACAATATGTGAGTAAACGTCTAATACCAAATAGATTAGGCATATATATTGACATATTTTAGAACAATAACCCTAATCTACATTAATATATTGCCAACTTATTTATTCGAAAGAAATTTATATATTACGAAATTATCAATCCTCATCTTCAAATCCGGTTTTGACTGGTCAGACCACCCCGTTTTAACTGGTTTAATCTAATTTTGACTGGTCAGACCACCCGATGCAGAATCCCCCCTGTATATGCGTGTTTAGTAAAACGGCTTGTCTAATAATCGGTTTCTCTCTTACCCCAATAGAAGGGGGGGGGGGGGGAAAAACGATCACACCATTCCAGTGAAAGATCTAGAGTTCGAGACCGATATTCAGCAACGACTTACACAACCGACTAAAGACGATTCTTACACTCCGACCACCGGTACATTACGGTTAACGGACCAAGTTGACGACGAGTAGGCTCTAGAGAGGGCTTGGTAAATGGTAATGGTATGTGCAGACACGCAATTCTATTTGTGGGTGCAACCTTCCGTTTGTTGACCTGCAAATCTAAACACCTAGTCAACCAGTATATCCTGAGATGGTATATTTTCTGTGTCATTAACCCACATGATGTATTAATATCCTTTTAGCCATCGCCTCACCAATAATTAGCAAGACAGATAGCATACAAATCACAGCCCCGGCCCCTTTGATTTGTTATATAAATATCAAACATTGGACCAGCTAGCTAGGGAGAGAATCTATGTGATTTGCAATTGCAAGCAACAGCAGTGTGTGTAGTGTAATAACGAGGAGAGGTAGACAGCCAATCAAGGGCGCATGGGGTTTCCTTCCAGTAGTCAATCCAAAACGAGAGGGGACCATAAGTAAGGAGAGCAATCTTTGTTCCATGGAAACTCCTGTCCTCCTCTGCATCAAATATCTTCTTCTAATTGATTAACTATATAGTATATATCTAGCTAGCTAACTAACACCTTCTTGTTTCCTATCATTTTATTTTATATATATGGAGGCCGGTGGTCCTAGCTAGTTGATCTGGTTAGAATTGGGCGTTATTTTACTTATGGTAACTGAACAGTTACATAAGGTAAAAGCAAGTACAAACAGGCTTCTTTAAATTATGTAACCCTCATTATATCTTTCAAATTATAACCAGGTAAAAAAAAAGTTACCAGCAGGTAAAAGCAGCTAGCGTACGTACCGAAAGTCAGATTTGCGGAAAACCAGAAAGTAACGCAGAGTGATGTTGCAAGTTGACCGAGTAATTATGATGGATTCGTTTGGCTTTTCGTCGAAGTTCTAACTGAAAAAATTGTTTATGGTTTGTACAGTGGGCTTTCGCTTAAACAGCCCAATCCATCCAGGTCCATCTCGCGCTCCGTTACTTGTCCCATAGGGCCAGGTCAGGCCCATGCTATTAAAAAATCCCGGCTTGTTTGGACCCGTTCGAAATGGATCATGGGTGGACAGAAGCCCAAATGGCAAGATCAGGATTTTAGCTTCCCTGTCGCCGAAGGGTCCGGATAGTAATAAAGCAATACAGAAGCAGTTTATTATACCAACAATTTTTCTCAGTATGAATATTGAGGAGTTGTCCACAGCTGAATTGAAGGTGCCAGTTTCTGTAATAGTAACCCAAACTAAACCTTTCCCTCTCTGAGAGAAACTCCCCTACTAGTTCACACTTCTGCACTATATAGTATATAGACAAAACCCAATTCCCCTCCTCCGCATTACAGTTCATATGCAAACTTCGCTTCAAATCTGTTTCAGACACCTTGATTCTTCTTGTCCAACTTCTCCTCCTCCTCCATCGTTCCTTCGGGTCTCTTCTTCTTCTCCCAGAACCTGTACTGCAGGGGTCTCAACTCGAGCATCTTCTCGACTTCCTCAATGGGCAGTCCTTTAGTTTCGGGCACAAAGACTATGACGAAGAAGAAACCAACCACAGACACGATCCCGAACAGCAAGAAAGTCATGTCAGTCCCGATAGCCTCGGTCAAGGACAGGAAGGTCTGGGCTACGATGAGGTTGGATATCCAGTTTGCCGTCGCAGCTATCCCTCCACAGACACCTCTGAATCTCAGTGGGTATATCTCGGAGTTGACGATCCAAGGCGCTGTACCCATTCCGGGCGAGAATGAGATGATGTACAGACCTAAACCGATTAGTGCCAACCATCCGAATTTGCTTGGACATCCTCTAGTATACCATTCCCTGCTGTCACCGTGGCACAGATCCTTCACTGTGTCGTCTGATACCAAGCACACTCCTGGTAGCAGCTGCAACAAAATAGTACAGTAACAACATTTCAATTCAATCATTGGATTTCATGTGTGGAAATTGTGTAGAACGACAGCAAACGGATTGCAGCGATGCCTAAAATGTACCTTATCCGAAGCTGCAGAGCAGAACCCACAATCAGGATGCGAAGCTTTGAGGCACTTCATGCAATCCCAGGAAGCCGAGTTTGCTGCCGAGCCATAGTCAGGGCAGGTCATGTTGGAGAATTTGGTTCCGGAAGCAACGGTCACCATGGGAGAGTGAGTGGTGGTCTGGTGGAAAATTCCTGCGAGCAAGCCAAGTGAAACGGCCACTCCAAACAAGCTGATCAGGAGAAGCTTCTTCCTCCCCGTCCTGTCGATGAAGTAAATGCTGAGGATGGAGCCGAAGGCATTGAGCCCCGCGGTGACAAGGGACAGCAGAAGCGCGGTCTGGTTCGATGCAAAGCCAGCCAACTGAACTATGGTTGGACTGTAGTACATGACAGTATTGATCCCCACAAATTGCTGGAAAACCTGAAGGCCTACACCGGCGATGAGTCCCCTCCTGACGGTCTTGGTTTGCCAGAGTTTCCTGAAATTGATCTTCTCAGAAGTTCCTTCCTCGCGGATTTCCTTGTCGATTGAGTCCTTGAGGTCCTGGATTTCTGTCTCGACGTCTTCTGCTGGGTAAATCTTCCTCAAGATTGCTTTTGCTTCCTCTTCTCTACCCTGTCACATTTCCCACAATAAGCATGAGGAATCACAGAAGTAAGGTAACAAACAATATGCAACGAAAAAAGAGCGAAAAGGAAACCTTGCGGAATAGCCAGCGAGGAGATTCTGGAAGGAAGATCATCAACGAGAACTGCAACAGAGCGGGAAGTCCTGCTACTCCGAGCATCCATCTCCAAGTTCCTGGAACCTGAAACAACACTCAACACCCTCAAATTTTGGCACCAGCATTTCCAAACTACATGGCATCACAATTTTTAGTACACATCTTGACTCTACAAAACTGTCACGTACCTTGGTGAATGCTAAGTTGATGAGATAAGAGAGAAACTGGCCAAAAGTGATGAGGAAGTTGTTCGTGCTGACGAGGGCACCTCTGATTTTCGCCGGAGATGCCTCCGAGATGTAGAGCGGGGACGTCATGGATGCCATCCCAACCCCAAGACCCACAAAGACTCTGCCGACGATGAGCGTTGCCGGTCCGGGCGAGGCAGCCATGATCACAGCTCCAATGAAGAAGAGGAAATCAGCTGCGAGAAGTGCACTTCTCCTACCATGCCTGTCGTTAGCCCACCCACCAACTGCTGCTCCTATGATCGCCCCTGCCACCGCCATGCTCACTATGCTCTCCTGCCAAGATCATATCAACACCAAAGCAGCTAAGTTTCCCTCATACAGTTTCAGTTAGGAAGGAGCCCAAGTTCTACGGTCTTAATGGGCCAGAAGCCCACCAACACAGGCCGATTTCGTTGACTTGACAATTCCACAGTCTACCATGATGAATGGGGATGGAACAAACGTCTTTGAGAAAGGGGCCAGGTGGCTGGATTATCCTGATTTTTTTAAACTTACTTTAAGGCAGAGAATCTGCTTAACTTGGTGACAAACGATGTGATATTAAACAAAGGGAGAGATTAAGCATTAGATGCCAAATTGCGGGAAGAGTAAACTAGTCCACAAAGTAGAAACTCCTCCTTGGCTTCTTCTAAGTTGACTGACTGACTCACTGGAGGAGATCATTAGATAAGAGAGAGAGAGAGTGTGTGAGTGAGGCTTGGTTTCGTCTTCTCTGTTCCGAGATCCCTAAATCTTATCGTCATCTTAGAGGCGGCACGGCAGCATATCGGGGGTGATGAAATCGAGAATTTCCGTGGGAAATTTTTTTTTTTGTAAAAAAGGGAAATGAGAAAGGCGAACGGATTTCGATCCAATAATTCGCTTTTTTCTCCAAATCCAGGTTGCGAGTGAGGAGGGAGCACATGGTGATGTCCGGTGGGAGGGTGGAGGACGGTGGTGGTCGCTGACTACTTTTTCCTTGTTACTAATTACCGGAAAGGAACAAAAGAGAAGGGAGGCGCAGAGGCAGAGCAGTGGGGGGAAAAAAAGGATAAGAGTGGCGATTACTGGCGAACCGCCATTTTCGGTTTGATTGGCAGCAAGAAGTAAAGAAGATACCTATCCAGTCCAGTAGCACGAAGTACTTGATGTTCCATGTCTGGTATTTTGTTTTTAATGTTGTTCAGAGAGAACATTGAACAGCACGGAAAACGAGGAAACGGAAAAAATTGACTTGAATTGATGATAAGGTTACCTGGAGAACAGTGTGTCTGTCGACGGCCTTGAAGTCGTCTCTGATGTAGAGAAGCGCGCCGGATATTACTCCTGCGGGGCAGAATAGAGAGTGAATGTCAATGGAGAAGGGAGAGGGAGAGGGAGAGAGAGAGAGAGATAGAGAGAGAGAAGGAAAGGAAGAGGAGGAGAGAATTACCGGTGTCGTAGCCGAAGAGAAGGCCGCCGATGCCGGCCGAGAAAGCGAGGCGGAGAACGTAGGGGTTCTTCCATGTGAGGGCGAAGCAGTCTCTGAAAGCGGAAGTATCCGGCAACGGGTGGACTCCTCCTTCCATCTTTGGTAATTCAGGTTTTGTTCGAGGAAGAGGAAGACGCAGAGGGAATTGGGGGAAGTTGAGTAACTGACTACTGTATTGAGTGAGGATTTAATTAAGGGGACGAGTGGTGAGTGAGATGAGATGAGGGATAAAAACAGGAAACGAGGAATCAAAGGGAGGAGGAGGAGGAGCAGGAAGTTTCATGGAAAGACGTTTATGGCGGAGACCCTTGTCGCTGTGTCTCCTAATATATAATTGTGGGAGGAAGGGGGAGACGGAGTAGAAGAGAACAGAAGCTGGGATTGATTTTCCAGCACCAAACAATTGATTAATTAACAAAAAAAAAAAAATACAGGTGTGGGCTGGGAGAATCAACTTTAATTAATTCCGAAATTTGTCCAGATTAATTAAACTCTAAAGCGTCTCTTCTTTTCGACTTTTCCACATGCTGCTATGCTAATGCTACTGAACAAGGTAACACAGGGCCAAAGGCAGATTGGGCTTAGGAAAAAAAACGTTGCTTTGGGCGTGGGGGTTGTCAATTATGCTAATAGAAACAGAAATCGAAAGAACATCAAAACTTTTTTAACGTGAGTTCGTCAATGTAACATTAGTTCACGGAGAGGATCTTCCTCTCAAATTTTTTGTTTCTCTTATTACTTCAATCATACATGAGTTACAGAGTATATATATAGTGGTTTGCTATAACAAACCCTAATTACATAATTACACATTGCTACCTAACTAATACACAATTAACAGGAGTTAGCTTTCCTGAGTGAAGAAGACTAATAATAGTGTCCATGGTATCTTTTTCTTCTTCTACAACTCAGTAGTCCCGCTGATAAATTTGAATTTCCAAATCTGGGAGAGCTTTCTGGGCCTCTGATGACTAATCTCTTTGTCAATGCTAATTCATTGTGATGTACAGTACTACTTGCGTGAATGCATTGATAATTGATTGAGGTAGCAACTGTATATCTATTTCCACAGGAAAACAATGGTCTATTCCAATTTTTAGTATGACATTTTTGTTTTTTGAAAACGTTGCATTAGTCAAACTTAAATCTGATGTGGTCGAAGAAAGATTTTTAAAAAAAGTAGGTGTTAGATGTCCTTGTCAGATGGATCCAAATAGAGAGGGATGGACAAACATTGACAACATTTGCATTGATTTTATGATGAAATCAATCCCAATACAAGTTTGGAACAAGAACTTAAACAATCAAAAGTTAGCAAACTAATCGTATACAAAATTAACTAAATCCTAACCTACATTGCACCATAAATTGATCATGATCCCTAACATCCACTCTTCCATCAAGCTAAGCGTGGATGTTTACCTTGAAAATAAAGTATGTGAACATATGAACACGTATGCTTGGTTCGTTCATGTTGTACGTAATGTCTCGGTTAATGTAAAAGCTGAAGAGTTGTCACGATAAATGGTACATAGTCTTCTGAATTTATCGTTAAAGAATAACGTTAACCAATGAAATTTGAGACCTCTTTCACGCACAAAATCATCAATGCAATTACATTAGGTTCAAATTTTAGTTCTACTTTCACTTACAAGTTTTGCATATATAGGTCCAAAGATGAAATTGCATTTGATGATTTTGTGCGTGTGAACATGGACCAGTCCCACTTTTCACACCTTAGTAATGGTCCATTCCACTCTTTAGTTATGATAAGAACTAACAATTTTCCACTATTTGATGATTAGTCTTTTTCGTTCTTGCCAGAAATTAGACATGGAGAGCAACCTTTCCTGCACCTTCCTTCCAACCCAGTCCCAGACCCAGAGAATCTCTTTCCAACGGTACTAACAATAATAATCTGCAAAATTATCAAATATGTTCCACATTGGCTTTTTTCATATTTTTTGTACAATTTTATCATGCAAAGATATTTAGGGGTCGTTTGGATGGATCATTCTCAAAATGAGACAATTTAGATCAAAAGACTCATTTTTGAAAACGATTCAATTTTATGAGGAAATCTGTGCGGAATGTATCGTTTGGCATGATCTGAGAGATAGAGAAATATGAGTGGCCATTTTGTGAAAATTGCCATTTTATCATTTTCTTATACAAGTTTTTCTATCTATTTCTGGGTTTCTTTCTATTAAGTTCATCATCTACAAAAATATATACATATACCGTCGAGTTCACCATATCCACTCACATGCAATCAATTTCCTTATGGTTTTGATTTTCGTAAAAGTGGGCTTTCACATGACCAAAAACGAAATCGAAACAGGGGTGCTTTGCTTTGGTTTCTGTTGATTGCAATCCCCATCTCGCCGTTGCTTTTGAAGTTTTGGCAGAGACAATAAGAGATTAGAACGGAGATCAGGAATAAAACACGGTAACAGGAAGAGACGTCTTTGTCTCGCCAATGAAAGATGCGGCCTCTGAACCGATCCAAAACAAAATTGAAAATCGATTTCTTCTTCTCCTCCTATAACCCTACCCACAACGAATTCAACGCCAAAAAACAATCCAAAACCCTCATGCAACGAAATCGATTTCTTCTTTTGTTGGAAAGAGAAGCTTGGTCGCAGGGAAAGAGCAGTTCGATTTCTTCTTCTGCCCAGGACATCGCTTTCCTCGTAGCAAGACTGAAGCAGACTGATTGCCGACTACTCTCCCGAGATTCCCCCAGCAGATCATTCGCGAGAGAGAAGAACAGATCTTCCCTCTGCTCGCCATCAAAAAGCAAATCGGCAGATTTTCGTTTTCCGCCAGATAAAAGAAAGAGAAGGAGAGAAGAAAGAGAAGGAGAGAATAAGAACCGTCGACAGGGAAAAAGAAGGAGAAAGGGGAAAGTGGTTCTCGGCATAAATAAAAGGGAAATGTTTTTTATTATTGGAAGGGGCCACAATAAACGCGCCAATTCACATTTCCTACCCCTACCCCAGGTATTTCTAATTGAACCCTAACGGATCAATTGAAATTCCCCCAATCCAAAATGTTCCATTTTTATTTTATGCTGCCAAATGAGATAATTTGACCCAATTGTCTCATTTTGAGTCAATTGGGTTGAATTGCCTCATGCAATAGATCCATCCAAACGACCCCTAAATTCTTCCTATAAAAGTGAAAAGAAAGAAGTGCATGCCTGGTTAGGCATTTGAAAAAGTTAAGCTAGCAAGATTTGAAAGATCTCTTAATAATAAAATGTGGTTTATATAAAGCATGGAAGAATTTAGTGTCAAACGTCTAGTCTAGTATTCCAAAGATTCGAAAGAGCATGAACGGAGCCAGCTTTATGCCCCCTAAGATTTTAAAAACATAACATGAGGTATTTGTTCATCGTTATTACGGGGTCGTTTGGTTTTTCCGATTGTTAAATTGATGTATTGTGAACAATACATGCATATATTATACATGTATTGTTGAATTTGGTGTATTGTAGATTACAACGTTTGGTATTTGTGATTGTGTTTTCAATAGTTAAAAGGGAAAGTAACTTTTTAAAAAAAATGTCATTTGTATCCCTCATTGCCAATGCAAAAAGTAACTCAAAGGGTTAAAGTTGGAAGAAAAAGAAAGAAAACAATCTCAACAAGTACAATCTCAACAATCTCAGCTAAAAGCTGAGATTGTACAATCATTCATTATGAATGATTGTTTCTGTCACATGAAGTAAACAATACATGTATTGTCTGTGTATAGAAAATCAGAAAAACGATGAATTGTAAACAATACAACCATTGTAACAATCTCAACCAAACAATGACAGAAACCAAACGACCCCTACGTTGTAGCCTACTGGGTGAAGGTAGAGGTGGCAATTCTCAATCCAATCCACCAATCCATTAAAAATATCTACCTAATTCAATCCATTTAAATCTAATACATTTGATCTAAATCCAATTTGGATGGTGGATTCATGGATTGATTCATGGATACGATTTGGTACCTATACTTTTTATATTTAACATTTTGGTACCTAAAATTTATTTTTTATACGGAAAATATCATTGGAAATTTACGTTTTGGTATCTAAAATTTTTTATTACGACATTTTAGTACCTAAACTTTTCACATTTTACATGTTGGTCCAAGGTTGAGGATGTCATTTGGATTCATGGATAATCCACCAATCCATGAATCCACCAATCCATTTGATCCATGGATCCCCCAATCCAATCCACCAATCCATGAATCCGATCCATTTGTCACCTCTAGGCTCTAGCTGAAGCAGACAACAGAATACCTATTCCCTTCAGAGGTTTCTTGGTTCGACACTCCATTTTTACAGTTTGGTCCTCTTTTTCTGTGTTTTATAGGCCTTCCTTCCCACATTTTCCTTTTTTTGTTTTTTTACTGAATTGCTATTTGTCGTCCTAAAATTTAAATATTTTCGCCCTAAACCGTGTGAAAATGACGTTGATGCCCCTATCCCAAATTCAAACCCTAATCTCTAAACAAACACAATTTCACCCAATCTCACTCTCTGCTCCTTATCGTCCCGTCCACCTGCCGGATCTCGGCAGCCGCTGCCGTTTGCCAACCCGCCGTGACTCCGATTCCCCCAACCCGCCATCGTTGCATTTCGCCGAGCCGGATTCTAGCCGTCGTGGCCATCCCCCACCCCCCCAACACACAGTCGTTGCCATTCCCCCCACTCCGCCTACCCGTTGCTGTTGCTGATGAAGGAGAAAGAAGAAGCAGGAGGAAAGAGGCAGAAGGAGGAGGAAGAAGAATGTTGCCGCTTGGTATGCCAAGAAGGAAGAAGAAGCTGACCGTCGGAGTTGAGTTTTTTTTTCTTCGATAATCCCAGTCAATTTATAATTTTGTTTATTGTATTTGTTTTTTCGTTGAATTTGTTTTTAGTGTATTTGTAATTTACTTTTTGAATAATTTATTTTGTTATTTGGTATAGTTATTAAGTTATATATGTTTGATTAGCGTTTATATTTTTTGAAAGTAAAAAACTAAACAAAGGGTATTAGAGTCATTTTAATAAGAGTTAGGGCGACAAATAAACTATTTTAGGGCGACGAATAGCAATGCCTTTTTTTATGGGTTCCTTTTTGTGTTTAGCTGGATATGATCGATTAGGTCTCCCCTATTTTTCTATTTTCCTTCAAGTGTGCTGAAGTAGACAACAAAATACCTATTCCCTTCAGAGGTTTCTTGGTTCGGCACTCCATTTTTACAGTTTGGTCTTCTTTTTCTGTGTTTTATAAGGCCTTCCTTCCCACATTTTCCTTTTTCCATTTTTTATGGGAACCTTTTTGCGTTAGCTGGGTATGATCAATTAGGTCACCCCCATTTTCCTTTTCTTTTCACAATGATTTATTTGTAGAGATCATCAATTCATTTGATAAACTTATAGATTATTTGT